ATGGTGCTTCACATATCATCGATTCCCAGTGTGCGTGTGATCTGGCATTTTTTCTTAATTAATTTATTTGTAAATTCCTCAACTTTTGGTCACGCGCAAGTTGATGATTTATCACTCGCAACAAACGACGCTGACGCTGATGCCAAAATTCCTGCGAAACGAGCTCTTTAATGCTATTGCGTCAATCGTAGAGGATATAGAAGATGGTGCACTCACCGCACGCGAGTCAAGAAAGAGAAGATAAGATATAGGAAAGATGGCGGACATGATCGAAGGAGTCAGAGGAACGGGGAACACTCGGCGAGAGCTGCAGGGCGTCAAGCAATCGCAAGTGACACAAACACTCAGCACTGAATCCAGCAAGCGAGACCCACTGTGAGAACGCGCTCGCATGCTTGTACCTTCGGGTCTGTATAAGGAGCTGGGTAAGACTCTGTGGCTTTCTTTCTTAGAATGTCTAAGCAATGTGATGGCGTCGGAGAGCGGGATTCTGCATATGTGCGATGAACCAGCACGTTGTATCCTAGTCGGAACTCCCTGGTGCGTTCAAGCCTGCGTAAATCCCTTTGTAAGAAACTGTGGCCCCCCCTCCTTCCACTCTCTCAGCAATCACGTGATAGCGTCGGGAGCGACGTTCCGTAGACGCGCATGCCCCCGCATAACGTGATCCGACAAGAGTACGGCACGGGTAACAGCAACAAAAACTACAATGAATTCATGGCTTGCTTCACTTGCAAACTGCGTTCACATCGCGCAAGATGGCCGTGATGAACGGAACTTTAAGTGGACCGATGCGCCGCTTCACATGCTACTCCTGGTCCTTTTTCGTGGGAGGTGGTGCGATTTTCCCCAATGCTGCTTTGTAGTCGGTTACAGCCTATGAATAAATGTAAGCTCTGCCCACAGCGGTCACCGCCCCATCCAGGCAGAATTTTCGACTTATTGTAATCGCTGATTTACGTGACGTCAGATCCTATCACGTAATTTCAGGAACATGAATTGACCGAACAGGTACGTGTTAATTTCGAAAGTTTTCGCCCGAAACATTTTGCTACTCGGAAAATTTTGCGAAAAATTTTGATTTCACCGCTCAGCCAAACGTAACGTTTCCACAAAAAACGACGAACCTATAATTCATATAATGCGTAGTACTTGAATTATTAGCAAAAAAGCGCATATGGTTTGGACGGAACAATCCAATCAATGCTCTGTTGACAGGTGCGCTGCGGTACTTGGGGTGGAGCGGGTACTTATTTTTAGGTTGTAACCGACTACAACTGTTATAAAGCCCCTATATTTCGAAGGTATAGGGGCTTTAAGCTGCTCGCCTCGCAGAGTGGCAGGGAAGGAGGGGCAGACGGGCTAGTCAAGGGAGGCGCGTGGCCACCAAAGAGGTTTAAAAAAATTCTGCAGTGGAAATTCTTGCCCACGAGTGAAATCGTGCCAACCGTAGATGGTGGCTGCAGCAGCCACCTTACTAGGGGCATGATGAGCTGTTAGCGTTGGGCGATTGAGAAAGAGGGTTTTGCTCGCACGCCCAACGAGTTTAACGTTCCAACCTCTTCGGGTCAGATAGTGCTCAAAGTTCGTCCTTGTGTTACTTGTTTAAAGCCTCGAATTCAAGGCGAAATTTAATGGAGATTAGGTCACCGATACTATAGCCTCTGCGGATAATTTCTTCGGACACAATTATCTCTTAATTTATAGGTGACGTAGGCTTTAGACTAATGAATCAAAGACACTTGATGTCTCAGTAGCCACCACCAGAAAATAGCATGTTTCTCAGATCTTTGGAGGCCAAAAGCTGGCTTCACTACTGCTGGCAAAGCATTGCGGGAGCTTCCACTCCAGCAATTATTTTTTTTAAACATCCTTGGTGGCTGCAGACGCCAGATCAGGAGAGGTTGTCAGGAGAGAGGGGAAAACGTCCCTTCTGAAAAGACAAAAGTGTAGGATCTCAAAAGAGATGAAACAATCGATGGGGAACTGAGTTTCAATGTCAAAAATCAACCATGTACCCGCAATTCTAGGGCCCTTGTGCTGTGGTTTTTCATTCTTATCTGCACAAAAAATAAAAGCTCGCTTTCTCTGGTTAGAAGAGGCTTAAAGGGAGAGAGTCGTGAGAGGACGTTTCCTTGAATTTTATGCAACACGTAATAGATAGAGCCCCCAAACCAGTTACACAATAGTGCACAATGAGCGTCTTCTGTTTTCGGCAATGGAAGACCATTCTGGCTTGGACACTGCAACACTCTTTTCTGAATGCATTCGGCAGAATTCTACTTCTGCTGAGGCCCACGGGACGCCATTAAGCTCCCCCGTAGTAGAGTACCGAGTGCTCTAAATCGTTAACCACTCTTCCTAAACACAGCGCTCTCCCATAATAGAGTATCTAATACTCTGAATTGTTATTCACTTATTTTAAACACACAGTTTTTGGCCCTCTTCTGTGAAAGCTTTGTGGCCTCATTAAGCCTGAATGACCCGCAGGGCGCGGGTTCGAATCCCGGCTGCGGCGGCTGCATTTCCGATGGAGGCGGAAATGTTGTAGGCCCGTGTGCTCAGATTTGGGTGCACGTTAAAGAACCCCAAGTGGTCTAAATTTCCGGAGCCCTCCACTACGGCGTCTCTCATAGTCATATAGTGGTTTTGGGACGTTAAACCCCACATATCAATCAATCATTAAGCCTGAAACCCAGAGGACTCCTTTCAGCTCTCCCATAGTAGAGTACCAAGTACTCTAAATTATTAACTACTTTTTCTCAACACAATATTGCCTCCCATAGTAAAGTACCTCACACTATAAAGCGTTAAAAAGTGCTTCTGAACACCTTCTTGCTTGCTTAAAACTAGGAGAGTGTGATGCTCTCCCGTAGTAGAGTAACGCATTGTATGTTCTAAATCGGTGAACATTTCTTCTAAACAATCTCACTCTTCTGCTTCAGGGACAGCTTTCTGCTCTCGCATGGTAGAGCATTAAGTACTCTGAAGGCTTTAACACTTTTTGTAAACAAACGTGGGGACGCCTTATTGCTCTCCCGTAGTAAGAAAATACATCATACTCTCAATTGTCGAACATCTGTTCTAAACACTTTGCGACTGCAACATAAATAGTTGAACGCGTATGACACTCTAAAGCAAGTGCTTGTTGCTCTTAACATGTGTATCACTGAATTTCCCTAGAGCGCCAAATGTGTGACACGTGAAGGTACCTTGCTTTTTGTAACTGGGACTTGCTTTTCGTAAAAGTATCCTGCTTTTCGTAACTGCCCTACGGTACCAGAGCACTCGTAGTACTCTAAGTCACCCACTGTTTGTTCTCAATATTTTTTTGCGAGCAAATAACGAGCTTATTCGCCATCATCATCATCATCATCATCATCATCATCATCAACAACAACAACAACAACAACAACAACAACAACAACAACAACAACAACAACAACAACAACAACAACAACAACAACAACAACAACCTCGCTACACCAACTGCAGGGCAAAGGTCTTTACCATGATACGTCAATCAACCCGGCCTTGTGTTTTCCGTTGCCACGTTATATCTGCGAACTTTTTAATCTCATCGGCCCACCTATTTTTCTCTCTCCCCTTCGTGCGTTTGCCTTCTCTGGAAATACAGTCAGTTGCATTTGATGACCAGCGGATATCCTTCCTACGTGCCCGGCCCATGTCCATTTCTTCTACTTGATTTCAACTAAGTTACTACAACCCTGGTCCGTTCCATAACCCACTCTTCTCCCTTCTTGTCTTTGAAAGTTAAACTTATTATTTTGTTTCTATTGCTCGTCGCGTCATCCTTAATTTAAGCTGAACTATCTTTGGAAGCCTCCAGGTTTCTGCTCCGTGGTTAAGTACTGGCAAGATGCAGCTGTTATATACCTTTGACTTGATTGCTAGTAGCAGAATACCATTAGATATTTGAGAATGCTTGTCGAATGTGATCCACCCCATCTTTATTCTGCTAGTTATTTCAATATCAACATTCGGCTCCACCATTATTACATGTCATAAGTTGAGAAATTCTTTGAAAACTTCCAATGTTTCTCTACCCATTGCAGAGTGCTGTTTTATGCCGAGACTGTTGCACATTATTTACGTTTCGTGCATACTTATTTTCAGACCTACTTTTCTGCTTTCCGTGCCCAGTTCAGTAATCCTCAGCTGTCATTTGTCTCCTGAGCAACTCGTCAAGACGATGTCATAAGCGAATCCCAGGTTACTAAGATACTCTTCATTAATTCTTATCTCTAACTCGTTCCAGTATAGGGTCGTGGAAATCTTCGGTAAACACGTGGTGAATAGCATTGAAGAGATCATGTCTTGGCCCTGCCGTGGGTGTAGTTAGGCTGATGAGGATGACAACTCATAGGAATTCCGGTCGATAGCGTGGAAAGAAAAACGTAGCAGTGTTTAGAATACTTTGCCAGATCTAACGTGATAGAGAGCAACTTTTATTTTTCTGTAACACGCAGGTCGCAAGCACACTTCGTTCCACGTGTTCCGGACAGCAATGATAATATCAGCCAGCATAGTAGCTGCGCTTCTCGGCTGCTTCATTGCCGGTGTCATCACTAGGTAAGCCTGCCCGCAATCTTTTCTGGCTGTAGGTCAATGATGTTTCGTTTTTCTTACGTTATGAACTGATGCGCTTCTACTAGACTACTCATAGTCATAGGAAGCATTGTATGACTGTTATTGTGATACAGGGTATTACCCGTACACGACGATTCTCTTTAAAATCACAAGTGAAGACTCAGTGATGACCATTGTACATTCATAGGCCAATCGCAGTTTGCAAAAAAAAAAATGCGTTAGCGTGTCTGTTTAGTGATAGGTGGCATGTCGGAACACCGAACGTGCTTTATTCCGGGGTTCACCACAGCTTCACTGACACATTTCCGTCTTGGATATGACGTAAATTATAAACAGTTGGCCGGCAAAGGAACGATTGGAAGAAGAAGCAATGTAGCTGGCAGTCGAAACTATGGCCCCTTGCTCCTGAACGTGGTGATGCGAAACAACCAGGTCATAAAGAAACTCCCGTCAGTGTACTAACGGCGAGCTCTTTACGTATACCATTTACCATTAGCGGTACTCAGCACTCAATGATGACGTGTTTACGTCATCACGTAACCACTAGCCAGGTGGCGCGGCGGGCTAAAAGGGCGCGCTATGAAGATCCCGCTCCGTGCATTGCGATCCACCCGTGCTTATCTCGCGATGGGAGCGGTTTGTATGTGTTGTAAAGTCCCTATAACTTCGCAAAGTGGCGACGTAAGTGGTTATTCGCGTGCCTTCTCTCTTCCCCCTCCTCCGACTTCTCCAAGGCCGGCGCCGCATCGGTATTGGCTAGATGCCGTCACATAGGACCACTCACTGTGCTCATTTCTTTACTGTCACTCGCGAAAACCATCGTTGCTGTCAATACGCGGACTCCTTGGGGCACAGAGCATATTTTTTATTTTATTTTTTATTTAGTACATACTGCAGTCCGTAGACCAAGCCGAAGGGGCGAGAAAGGGAACACAGTGAAAACAAAGAGAAGACGTTTGCACAACAAATTTTTTTTTTACTATCCTACGCAAAAACTGAAAAACAAGTACATACTAAACAGAGTGAAATGAATATACACTACTAGAAAAAAAGTGCACAAATTGCACTTTTTTGCAAGTAACACAACTGGACTCATGATATGACTTTATATAGCATGGTGTCAATAATGTTGGCTAAGAAAACAGATGCATAGATTTTTCAATGCCATGTTCAGGAAAAGCGCCCCGCCATGGTGGTATAGTGGCTAAGGTACTCGGCTGCTGACCCACAGGTCGCGGGTTTGAATCCCGGCTGCGGCGGCTGCATTTCAGATGGAGGCGGAAACATTGTAGGCCCGTGTGCTCAGATTTGGGTGCACGTTAAAGAACCCCAGGTGGTCGAAATTTCCGGAGCCTTCCACTACGGCGTCTCTCATAATCATATGGTGGTTTTGGGACGTTAAACCCCACGAATCAATCAATAAACGTTCAGCAAAAGCATATGTAGGCAATGTATTCCATTCGCTAATGGTTCGGGGAAAGAAGGAGTGTTTGAAAAGGTTAGTATGTGCGAAGTATGGTGTCAGGTCATGATTGTGATTATGTCTGGTTTGCCTGGAAGAAGACGAAGATAGGTATTCATGAGGGTCGATATTAAACTGACGATTTAGAAACAGAAAAAGAAACTTCAGTCTGGCGATAGATCTACGCTGTTTCAAAAGTGGAATGTTGTTTGTAGCCACAATTGATTAAGGTAATCAAGATTGTGATAGGCATTATAAATGAATCTTACCGCCCTTCTCTGGACAATTTTAAGTTTATAAATGTTTTTTTTAAATATGGGTCCCAGGCCACGCATGCGTACTCAAAACGGGGTCGTATAAATACACTGTGTGCAAGAAGCTTAACTTGTGACGGCGCGTTTTTAAGTTTGTGTCTTAGAAAACCTAGTTTTCTAGAGGCGGTTGATTGATTTGTGTGGTTTAACGTCCCAAAACCACCATTTGATTATGAGAGACGCCATAAAAGAGGACTCCGAAAAATTTGACCACCTGCGGTTCTTTAACGTGCACCCAAATCTGAATACACGGGCCTACAACATTTCCGCCTCCATCGGAAATGCATGCAGTCGCCACAGCCGGGATTTGATCCTGCGACCTGCGGGTCAGCAGCTGAGTACCTTAGCCACTAGACCACCGCGACGGGGCTCCTAGAGGCGGAGGAACAGGCGTCCTCAACATGGTGGCTCCACGACAGTTGATTGATAATCTTTACTTCTAAGTATTTAAAATTGTTCACTTCAATCGAGGGATTATTGACGACATATTGAGCGCTAAGAGACAGGGACAGGAGAGAGTGGACACCACAATGCGCTAACTTCAACAATTTTTATTTTCAGGAAACGCGAACCTATAAATCCGTGTACAGTGGCGCCACCAGTCTAACCACTAGCCCAGCAGAAAAGCCCTTTCTCGATCTAACAAGTCAACTGACGGTGCACTTACACATGCGTCACCTTTGCGAAAGATAGCATGGGCTTCAATTATCTCTCGCACGTCTTTATCTTTATGCTTCGCCAGAACACTGCAGGATGCGTACAAGGGTGTGCAACCACATTCCACGCAATGTACTGACAAATGGCCATAATTATTCTTGTTTTTAACATTGAGCTTATGTTCACGAAGACGGTCATTAAGGCATCTACCCGTCTGACCTATACATATACCACCACAAGTCAGAGGAAGCCCATAAACTACCCCTTCAACACACGCCACAAAATGATCGCGATGCTTCTTGGAGCAACCGACAGCAGGCTTGCGGTGCGGGTCCGTCAAGCGACTTATCCTGCCAAGCTTTTGTGGTGCTGAGAATACTACTTTAATGCCCACTCGACTAGCTACTTTCTTCAGGTTATGAGCAGTTTTGTGCAGGTACGGCACTACTGCAACTCTGCTCCTACTCACTGCCGGTTGGATGTCTGCTTCCCGAGGGCGACTGTCCAACCGGCATTTTTTAAGCAAACCCTCGACAACAGACACCTGTATCGACTCTGGGAAACCTGCTGCGGATAACCTCTCCGACTGACTCATGACACTTTTCTGAATTTTATGATGGCAAGATTTCCGCAATGCGTTCCCAAAACACAGATTGGCAATGCTTCTTTTTACTAGCTTCGAGTGAGCAGATTGGTATGGCAACAGGGGCTTATTAGCTCTGGGCTTGTATTCCCAACACGTGTGCTGCTGCTTGAATTCCAATTCAATGTCTAAAAACCGCAGCACGCTATCGGTTGGCTCTTCTACTGTAATAACGAGTGGGCTAAGGCAAGCAGAAAAAACAGCTTCGAGTTGACTTACTGCTACGTTTTCTTCACGCTCGAACAAGACAAGGTAATCGTCCACGTATCTCACAACTTTTGCCACCCTGTGCTGTGACAAGACATGTGCCAGATTTCTATCATGGTGGGCCAGAAAAATGTCACTCAGTACCGGCGCCAAACAGGAGCCGATACAGATGCCCTGCTTCTGAAGGAAAGTTTTCCCATTCCACGTGGCAAATGTCGAGCGGAGATATAAGCGAAGCAAGTCTAAAAAGCATTGAACCGAAATCTCGGCTGAGTTTTGAAACGCAACCACACCAAAGCTGTCAATACATTCTTCCACGCGCTCGATTAGTTCATTTTGAGGCAAAGAATAATATAAATCTTTTATGTCAAAGGAGCAGGCGAAAAAACCTTTGTCTGGGTTACTCTTCAGGAAATCTAATATTTCCCCGGAATGCCTAATCAAAAAGGGGTCGTCAATTTTAAGAATACCGAGCCTTTCTTGCAAGAAAAGGGCTAGGTTCTTCTGCCATGACCCTATTTCCGAAACTATTACCCTCAATGGCCATTCAGGCTTGTGCGTTTTCGCGCTAAACATAATATCAAGGCTATCTTTCTTGGCTGCGTCAATATTGTGAAACAATCTACTCAGGCCCAAATTTTTACAGAGACGTTTTGTTTCAAGTTTTACCTTCCTAAGAGACACATTATTGCACTCATTAAAAACTTTGGCAACTGCAGAACAGGCTCTCTCGTCATAGTCACCTTCCCCTAGGACAACAAATCCGCCCTCCTTATCCGCTGGCAGAACGCACAGTCGCTTCTGCTTCAAGAACGACACAACACGGCTTACAGGCACCCGTGAAGCCCCAATATTCTTCCGCGAGATCACATCAACCCCTTCCGATATACATCGATTCGCTTCACCTTCCGGGGCACACTTTGATATCCGTCGCACAAGGCTCAAAAGTTCCGGCGCACTCAACCGTGGCTCGACGGCGAACTTAGGTCCAAGTTTAAGAGCATTTTCAACGTAGTCTGGAAGACTAACCTGGCCGGTGGTTCTGACGCTGCATGTGGTTGGAACTGTCTTTTTTGGGATGCTGGCACGTAAGCCTGGCAGAGTCTGCTTCCACATGAATTCCGTGCCGCTGCTGACGATCGCTAGAAGATTCTTCCACTCCCTGGTGGCATGTCGTGTCCTTCCTGGATCTTCCAAGGAGGTCTTGAGCAGGTCCTTTAACATCCGAGCCTGCCTGTGCCACTCACTCCTAAGAATCTTGAGGACTCTGATGCCATGCCCGGCTGAAGGAGCGAGTCCACCAAACAACCGCACGACTTCATCCGGTAGGTGCTTGCAGCGAATGAAGAAGGAAAGGGAGCGAGCTTGGCAGTTGGCATGAATCAAGAGGGGAGCAACTGAACACGGATTGTACGAAGAACACAGAAAAGAGCCCGATGTACTAGAAATAAATTTTAGCAGTGCCATTTTTTGGGCGTGTTGGTAAAGGGAGCTTGACGACATATTGAGCGCTAAGAGACAGGGACAGGAGAGAGTGGACACCACAATGCGCTAACTTCAACAATTTTTATTTTCAGGAAACGCGAACCTATAAATCCGTGTACAGTGGCGCCACCAGTCTAACCACTAGCCCAGCAGAAAAGCCCTTTCTCGATCTAACAAGTCAACTGACGGTGCACTTACACATGCGTCACCTTTGCGAAAGATAGCATGGGCTTCAATTATCTCTCGCACGTCTTTATCTTTATGCTTCGCCAGAACACTGCAGGATGCGTACAAGGGTGTGCAACCACATTCCACGCAATGTACTGACAAATGGCCATAATTATTCTTGTTTTTAACATTGAGCTTATGTTCACGAAGACGGTCATTAAGGCATCTACCCGTCTGACCTATACATATACCACCACAAGTCAGAGGAAGCCCATAAACTACCCCTTCAACACACGCCACAAAATGATCGCGATGCTTCGCTGCAAGCACCTACCGGATGAAGTCGTGCGGTTGTTTGGTGGACTCGCTCCTTCAGCCGGGCATGGCATCAGAGTCCTCAAGATTCTTAGGAGTGAGTGGCACAGGCAGGCTCGGATGTTAAAGGACCTGCTCAAGACCTCCTTGGAAGATCCAGGAAGGACACGACATGCCACCAGGGAGTGGAAGAATCTTCTAGCGATCGTCAGCAGCGGCACGGAATTCATGTGGAAGCAGACTCTGCCAGGCTTACGTGCCAGCATCCCAAAAAAGACAGTTCCAACCACATGCAGCGTCAGAACCACCGGCCAGGTTAGTCTTCCAGACTACGTTGAAAATGCTCTTAAACTTGGACCTAAGTTCGCCGTCGAGCCACGGTTGAGTGCGCCGGAACTTTTGAGCCTTGTGCGACGGATATCAAAGTGTGCCCCGGAAGGTGAAGCGAATCGATGTATATCGGAAGGGGTTGATGTGATCTCGCGGAAGAATATTGGGGCTTCACGGGTGCCTGTAAGCCGTGTTGTGTCGTTCTTGAAGCAGAAGCGACTGTGCGTTCTGCCAGCGGATAAGGAGGGCGGATTTGTTGTCCTAGGGGAAGGTGACTATGACGAGAGAGCCTGTTCTGCAGTTGCCAAAGTTTTTAATGAGTGCAATAATGTGTCTCTTAGGAAGGTAAAACTTGAAACAAAACGTCTCTGTAAAAATTTGGGCCTGAGTAGATTGTTTCACAATATTGACGCAGCCAAGAAAGATAGCCTTGATATTATGTTTAGCGCGAAAACGCACAAGCCTGAATGGCCATTGAGGGTAATAGTTTCGGAAATAGGGTCATGGCAGAAGAACCTAGCCCTTTTCTTGCAAGAAAGGCTCGGTATTCTTAAAATTGACGACCCCTTTTTGATTAGGCATTCCGGGGAAATATTAGATTTCCTGAAGAGTAACCCAGACAAAGGTTTTTTCGCCTGCTCCTTTGACATAAAAGATTTATATTATTCTTTGCCTCAAAATGAACTAATCGAGCGCGTGGAAGAATGTATTGACAGCTTTGGTGTGGTTGCGTTTCAAAACTCAGCCGAGATTTCGGTTCAATGCTTTTTAGACTTGCTTCGCTTATATCTCCGCTCGACATTTGCCACGTGGAATGGGAAAACTTTCCTTCAGAAGCAGGGCATCTGTATCGGCTCCTGTTTGGCGCCGGTACTGAGTGACATTTTTCTGGCCCACCATGATAGAAATCTGGCACATGTCTTGTCACAGCACAGGGTGGCAAAAGTTGTGAGATACGTGGACGATTACCTTGTCTTGTTCGAGCGTGAAGAAAACGTAGCAGTAAGTCAACTCGAAGCTGTTTTTTCTGCTTGCCTTAGCCCACTCGTTATTACAGTAGAAGAGCCAACCGATAGCGTGCTGCGGTTTTTAGACATTGAATTGGAATTCAAGCAGCAGCACACGTGTTGGGAATACAAGCCCAGAGCTAATAAGCCCCTGTTGCCATACCAATCTGCTCACTCGAAGCTAGTAAAAAGAAGCATTGCCAATCTGTGTTTTGGGAACGCATTGCGGAAATCTTGCCATCATAAAATTCAGAAAAGTGTCATGAGTCAGTCGGAGAGGTTATCCGCAGCAGGTTTCCCAGAGTCGATACAGGTGTCTGTTGTCGAGGGTTTGCTTAAAAAATGCCGGTTGGACAGTCGCCCTCGGGAAGCAGACATCCAACCGGCAGTGAGTAGGAGCAGAGTTGCAGTAGTGCCGTACCTGCACAAAACTGCTCATAACCTGAAGAAAGTAGCTAGTCGAGTGGGCATTAAAGTAGTATTCTCAGCACCACAAAAGCTTGGCAGGATAAGTCGCTTGACGGACCCGCACCGCAAGCCTGCTGTCGGTTGCTCCAAGAAGCATCGCGATCATTTTGTGGCGTGTGTTGAAGGGGTAGTTTATGGGCTTCCTCTGACTTGTGGTGGTATATGTATAGGTCAGACGGGTAGATGCCTTAATGACCGTCTTCGTGAACATAAGCTCAATGTTAAAAACAAGAATAATTATGGCCATTTGTCAGTACATTGCGTGGAATGTGGTTGCACACCCTTGTACGCATCCTGCAGTGTTCTGGCGAAGCATAAAGATAAAGACGTGCGAGAGATAATTGAAGCCCATGCTATCTTTCGCAAAGGTGACGCATGTGTAAGTGCACCGTCAGTTGACTTGTTAGATCGAGAAAGGGCTTTTCTGCTGGGCTAGTGGTTAGACTGGTGGCGCCACTGTACACGGATTTATAGGTTCGCGTTTCCTGAAAATAAAAATTGTTGAAGTTAGCGCATTGTGGTGTCCACTCTCTCCTGTCCCTGTCTCTTAGCGCTCAATATGTCGTCAAGCTCCCTTTACCAACACGCCCAAAAAATGGCACTGCGAGGGATTATTATTTAAGGTGTACCACCACGTAAAAGGACTAGCTTTATTTAAAATTTGTAGAAAGACTGATTTACTAATGTTTAACTCCATCGACCTAGTATTTCACCAATCGAAGAAAGAATTTAGGTTGTTCTGTAAGGACTCTTGGTCTCTTTCACTTTTATTTGGCTTGTAAAGAATTTATTTATTTATTTATTTATACATACTGTCAATCCCAGAGAGATTATAACAGTTGGACAATCTAAGGCAGTGATTAAGTACCGTCAATAGAAAGAGAACAATAATGAGAAAATAATTAACAAAACAACAACAAAAAAGAAAACACATAAGCACATTTGTCAAAGTACAATCACATTAGCACTTTTCTTAAATAACAAGAAAGATCCCATAGCACCATATTATGTTTGCGAGGCTACCAAGTAGCTTTCAACTAGTTTTGTGAAAGTGGCTAAGGATGTGCTATTGGCAACGAAGGGGGACGGGTTATTTTATTCTCTGATCGCAAGCGGGAAGAACGAGAATTTGAAGGCATCTGTGTAAAATCTGTAAGGGGCAAGGGTATGAGAGTATTTGTGGCGGGTAGCTCTAGCTGCGGATAGCTTTATGTAGCGGGACTTGTCTATGTTTACTTGAGCATGTAACAGTTGGTGCATCAGCTTTAAGCGTGCCAATATCGCCCGGTTGTTTATTGTTAGTAGTCCAGCCTTCTTAAGCAGCTCCGTAGGTGAATCTGTTCGGTTAAATTTGTTGAAGATGACCCTAAGCGCTTTTCAATGAACACCTTCGAGCTTGCTGGTTAGTTTTTTGTGTACGGGAACCAGGCAGTGTTTGCGTACTCCAGGATAGGTCGTATAAGTGTCTTGTAGGCCAGTAACTTTGTGTGTGGTGGTGCTTGCTGTAATCGCCTTTTTATAAATAACAGTCTTTTCAGCGCAGATGATGTGATGTAATGAATATGAGCGTCCCACTGTAGGTCATGTGACAGAATGACCCCTAGATACTTATTTTTTGTGACATTAGAAAGGGTAGCTGAATTGATGACGTAATTGAAATTGGATAGATTCTTTTTTCTAGTTATAGATAAGAGCGCGGACTTTTTTTCGTTGATGTTCATTGGCCAATCACTGCACCAGGCTGAAACTGCGTCTAGCGCTGTATTTAATGTGATATGGTCATCGTGTGAGTAGATTTATTTGTACAGAATGCAGTCATCGGCAAATAATCTGCATCAAACATTAACAAATGAAGAAAGATCGTTCACGAAAAGTAAGAATAATACCGGTGCCAAATCACTGCCTTGCGGCACGCCAGAGGTAACCGGTACGATTGAAGATTGGACATGGTTTAATTCCACGAACTGCGACCTGTATGTTAAGAAGCTAGTAATTCAGTCAAGAATTCGACCTTTGCCTAGAAAAGGTTGGAGTTTCAAGATGAGTTTGCCGTGCGACACCCGATCAAATGCTTTCAAGAAATTTAACAGAATAAGATCAATTTGTTTTTGGTGATCGATGCTTAATGAGGCGTCATGGACCATTCCAATGAGTTGTGTTACAGTAGACATGCCCTGGCGGAAGCCGTGTTGAAAAGAATGCAATCATCTACAAACTTTATATAGCATGGTGTCAATAATGTTCTGCAAGGACTCTTGGTTCCTGTCACTTTTATTTGGCTTGTAAAGAATGCAATCATCTACAAAAATTTTAGGTTTACGGCAGAGGTATCAACTGATGAAACAATTACATTGATAAAGATAAAAAATGAGGCAGGGCCTAGGACGCTGCCCTGGGGAACTCCCGAGGTTACAGGCAAATTCCCAGAGCTGCAGCCTTCGATTTGAACAA